CGTGCGTGCGTGCGTGCGTGTCTACAACGTCCCTTCAAAACAAAAGCCAGGGAGTTAGTTGGAATGTTTATTGAACTTGCACAGTGCACGCTACAGCGAGTGGAGGACCTCACCTCGGCTGCCTTCTCCAAGGGCACGTTGCAGCCTCACCTGACTAAACCCATCCCACTGCCCGCACGCGGGGTTCCCGCTGCCTCTCTTCCCTGTGCGCCCCTCCCCGATTCCACGACAGAGGGGGAACGGTGACAGGAGCAACAGGAAAGCCGAGTGCTCGTCGTTTCCTCCGGGGATCTACCTGGGGCCATGTGGCCCGGTCGCCACAGGGCCAGGCGACCTCCCCAGAAATCTTCTGGTCCTCCTCAGGTGCACGGTGCGGGGCACGGCCTCCTCGCTCTCCTCTTCGGAGCTGGAGCCGCGGGAGGGAGCCGAACGCCCTCCATCCTCGCTGTCCTCGCAGGGGAGCTGGCCGCCCTGGCACTCCGGCCCGCCCGATGACTTGAGGCTCTGGTTAAAGGAGGCGGAGGCCATGCACTCGGCCGCTGTCTGGTCACAGGCACAAAGCAGCTTCACGCACAGGCTCGGCCCCACGCCTGAGAGGGTGAGACAGAGTAGCAGACGTGAGACGTGGGATGGCAGGGGAAGGCCCGAGTCCCCCTTCAGCTCTGCCCTTCCACACCCCGCCCTGAACCTCTTGGCAGTGAGTGAGCGAATGAATGAATGAATGAACAATGAGCACACCCCGCCCTGAACCTCTTGGCAGTGAGTGAGTGAGTGAGTGAGCGAATGAATGAATGAATGAACAATGAGTGACATGTAAGCACAGAGCTCCCGGGAAGTGAGAGGCGCACAGGACCCTACCAGACGGGATGGCATGGCGGTGCACGCGCTGTGCTGGGCGTCGCAGAGGGAGGAAGGACTGGGCCCTGCCAGCGGCTTCCCCAGACGGAAAACGAGGATGAGAACAAAGCCTCGCGAGGCGCTTGTGAAACGCGACGCGGAGCGCTTCCTCTTAAACCGCAAAGCGCGATGGAAACGCGTCCGCCCGTGTGGGTAGGAAGCGGGGCCAGAGGGTGTGGATAAAGCCGGTGCGGCAGCAAGCCCCGGTTTGCTCTAAGAGATGCTCTAAGAGATGCTCATGGGCCGTGCCAGCTTCAGCTGTCCCCGCCTGAGGGCCTGAGCGGCCAGAGGGGGAGGACAGCCCCCTGTCCTGTCAGCCAGAGCCACTCTCCTTCATGCGGTCACTCGGATTATCTCACGTGGGGGAAGGGTTCAGCTCCTTAGGAAAAGAGACCCGCCGGCATGGTGAAGACGCGGTTCTGGGTCTGAGGCAATGTGGTTTTGTGGTCCCGACCCCAGCTCCGTCACTGACTTCTACCTCTGTGACGTGGGACCTCGGCCACCGCCTCTGGACAGTGGGGTGACTCCTAGTGCTACGTCCCAGGATGGCCGTGGGGATGAACTCTGCTAATACAGAGCAAGAGCTTAGAACAGCACACAGCACCGAGGAAGCGTGGCTCTCTAGATTGTTCCCGGGCCGCTCCTAACCAGCTCTGTGATTGTAGGCAGCTGACTTAGCGCCTTGAACTTGAGTCTCCTCCTCAGTGGAATAAGGGTACTTAAATGTGCCTCAGCGCTAAGAAGAGTATTAAGTCACATTACAGATGAAAACGTGCTGGGGAAAGCGTCTCTAGGCACGAGCTGTGGTCATGATGCTGGTGTGAATGAATGAAGAGCTCGCCGTGCAGGCCCTCGGCACTTACACGGGGGTATCCCGTCCACACACTCTGCCGATGGCCGAGGAAGCCTCTCGAGCAGGCAGCCCAGCCTTCTCACCTGCTCCAGGCAGCAGTGATGGGAGAAACAGCACCTAAGACCGAGGAAAACCCTTTATTGCCCAGAGATCCAGCTGCCCCAGGAAGTCCCGCAAGGCCTGCTTCTCCCACGCTCCCTACAGTAGTGCAAGAAGCCGGTGGCTGCCTTCCAGCGCACACAGGGCTGACCGATACGGGCCCCACGTGTGGTCGCTCAGGCCGTGTACTCCACCAAGACCTCACGCCAAGGGCAGTGTCAGCGCACACTGTACATATCTTATTATTTTTTTAAAAAGTTTTTGTATTCGTATTATGATTCCGTTGACTGCAAAGATGAATGATTTTCATATTCATTACAATAATTTTCCAGGAGGTGGAAATAAACGGCCTTGAGGATGGGGCACTGTTTTTAGTTTACAGAAGAGGTACCATATGGATTAGCTGTGACCCCAGTCCTTCCGGCCTTTTACCTAATGGAGCACCTCGCTTGGTCCCCAGCCTCAAGAGAGAGCAGAGTAACTGTCTTGAACATAAATCAGGAACTGTATCTGGAAATGTGTCCAACATGGAGCAAGACCTCAGAACACACGGGAACGGGCCAGTGTCTTGCTTCGTGGACCCACCCATCTGGCCTCATGAAGCCTCACAGTCTCCCGTGCCGCTCCTGCCAGATGGAGGGATCTCTTGATGGCTACGATCAGGGGCTACAAATGCCCCTAACTCCTCCCTTTTCCCCCGTCCTTAACTCTCAGTCCATCACGGAGACCGCAGCCGGAGCAGGGATCAGCCACACACTCTTGCATCTTTTTGGTAGAGCTTGTGCTCAGCCAAGCGTCAGCTTCACCAGCCTTTCCACGTTGCCAGCAATGGAGAGACCACCTACCTCAAGTGTCACGTTAGGCAGTGGCTGCTGGTTGCCGTCGGCTACGAATGGCAGCCCCCATTTAGCTGTTATCCCAGCAAAGCCACGCTACCTTGTGTGTGCATTTGGCTGGGGTGGGCGGTGGTAGATAGTTACTATAATAGTTAAAACCTAAAGTGAATCAGAAATCACATCTGATCAAAAATACCCTTGAAAAATCACTTAAATCACCCAGAATATAAGGTGTACATGGTTTTGAAAAGACACCCTTGCAGAAAGTGATACCTTTGACTAACTCTTCCTTAGTCAAGGCTATGGCTTTTATTTATTATTTTGTTGTTGTTGTTATTATTATTATTATTATTATTTTAAGCTCTTGGGAAGGTATGCATATGGGGGTAGGGTGTTTGTCACTTTTGTCATAGGTGATTTACTTTTGTAGGTAATATGCCTTTTGTCTCTGGTTATTGGGCTCTTACAGAACAAATCAACCAGAAACCCCACTTCTACAATTTGCTCATTGCAAAATGGGCAGATTCGGGCCCCTCTGAAGTATCTGTGCAGATTAAACCTCTTAGAGCAGCTGGGAGGTATTTGTGATAGAGCTTGACCCCCAAATCAAAAGATCTGGGTCCACCTGGCTCTGCCCCTTGGTAGCTGGATGATCTCAGACAAGTCTGAGCCTCAGCTACTTTTCGAGAAAATAGGTCCAGAATGGCGAGAGCCGCCCCGAGTGAGATGATGCAAGCAACAAGCTCTTTGTGAAGCCCAAAACAGTGTCCAAGGGTGGGGACAGTTATGGCCTTTCGCTGCAGGCCGCATCAGCACCACCGGCTCACCACCCTCACCTGTCCGTACCTGTCCAGGGCGTCCCTGGGTTCACCTCGTCCTTCTTGCCCACAGTAACAGCCGTAAGATTCATACTCCTCCGGGCACCGGGACGTCAGACAGAAGAGCATCTCTCCAAGCTGTGGCATCACCTGTGTGTGGTCCCTACTTCCCACGTGCAGGAAGGTGAACCTGTCACAAGCTGATGAGAAATGGGGGCTCAGGAGAGCTTGGAATGTCAGGACGGCGTTCACAGAGGGAGAGCGGTGCTCCGCGTGTGCACCCATCGTCTTCGAGCCCGTGTGCCCCGCTTCCCGTCACAACTTCCGGGCAACTTGTGGCTAGTCTCCAGTCGGGATGAGAGCAAGTCCTCCCCACCAGGCTTCTGTCCTGCCCAGACTCCTTGTTCAGTCCCCCAAGGCATGGATACTTGTCAAGACTGGAGATGCTCTTTGGGACACACGTTATTCCTGAGTGGAGTGACCGTGTCCCACCCAGGCCCCAGCGGGCTCGGCATCCCGGGAGGCCTGCCTGGCTGTCTTCTCAGGCTTCTGCCTCCCTCGGGTCTTACGCCCTGGCAGGGTTGCCTTCCAGAACCTTGACTTTCTCTGCCTCTGTTTCTGTCTCTCTCTCCACCTCTATCCCACTGTTCTCCTCTGCCTAAAACTTTGGGTAAGTTGGCTGACGTCTACTATGCAACCCCCTGCTTCATAGATTTGGTGGGAGGAGGACTAAGGAGCCAGAGGCCTTGCGGAGGCTCCTGGCCCAGCCTGCCTCTCAAACGCAGCTGCCTGCATAGTCTGCTTGTGTGCTGTGGAAGCCGCCCACATGTACCAACGTCCTCCTCCACGTCCAGCTGCCTGCAGATCCTCGCAGGTGCAGGGCCTCTGGTAAGTCACCCCAGGGTGGCGGACCCGGGGGCAAGGTGACTGACACCCACATGTTTCGATCTTTCCAGGAAACGGTGGTGTGGACAATGCCAGGCTCTTTCCTTCTGGGCCAGTGAGAGGTGATGGCATTAGGTCAGAAGCTGCCTTTCCTTGGCCCAGCCTCCCAGCAGCTGCGTGCCTGCAGGCGAGTCACGTCCTCTCTCTGAGTCTCTCATCCGCGAAGGGGGCTGGCACCTTCTAGTTGCACCAGCGTGACAAGGTCACAGTGTCATACGGTGGCCTAAGGGGCTTTGTTAATGACCTAACCAAAGGATCTCAGCTTGCCTCTGCTCACCTTTTCCGGTTGTCTTCTCGGGACCGTTTGCGATGGATGACACAGCCACCCCCAAAGACTTAATGCCAGCCGGGACAGCGGTTACATCTCTAGCTGCAGCAACAATCTCTGCAGACCCTGAAAACGTACAACTTTGTGGTCCACATTCAAACAACGGTTCAAGAGGAGATTTGCAGATGGGCATGTGAGCAAGGCCAAGTGCAGACAGACGTTTCAGAACAATAAAGCCTCAGGAGAGTGTCCTCCAATGGGCTTGTAGGCATCAGGCCAGAGTCTCAGAGATGCATGAATGCCACATGGATCCCAAATTTTCTACAATAGCCTTAAAACTGTCAGGAGCCTGTGCTAGACCCTGTGGATGACGTCGCCTAGATGAGAACCCTCAGGCCTACATTTGTGTCACGTTCACTGCCATGCACCTGCCAAGCGAAGGCGATGCTCACAAACGAGGTAGGAATGATGGAGGAATTAAGCCAACTCGTGGTCCATAATAACGTAGGAAGCCAAACTCCTCAGAATACTGCAGCTGCTTCTCATCCCACTCAGCATGACCAGCAGGGCTGCTGGTGACCTGGCCCTGCCTCCCTAGCACTGTCCGGGTGTCCCTTTGCTCCTCGCGTCACTCCCACCTGCCCTCATAGCTGGAGGCCAGTGGGCGAAGTCTCCAGCCCAGTCTGGTCCAGACAAACGGAGCAGCAGTAGGCCCCGCCCCACCCATCTGCCGATCTAGGCTCAGTTCAGAGCTCATGAGGCCCAGACTAGAGCAAAGGATGCTCAGATATCAAAGTGGCTCTCTTTATCATGTGGAATAGCAGGTGATTGGCACAGAAAACAAAATACAGCTTTCTGTATTTTCTAAATGCATCTCTCTAGCTTCCATTTCTTCCTGCTAATGGATCTGTCTTTTAATTTCATTTGTCTGCTTTTAGGGGAGTGTAAAAGTAAACTGATTTCCTCCATTATGAGTTTGGTGTCTTTCCCCCAAGGCTCCTTCGGAACACACCCGATTTCATAAATGTGTAGGGGACAAGGATATGTATACAAAGCCGGGACAGGCCAAATGTGCTGACCTGGAGGGGTTGTGGTCCTTGTGGCTTCTGTGCCTTCCTGGTCTTGGCCTGGTTCTGCACCCCCTAAAAAGTGAGACAGGGTGAATATTAACCCCAGCCTGGTCCACCTTGCTGTCCAGAGGCCGCTCCCTTCCCACTGGGCACAGGAAGCAACATGGTCTTCGCTCTGCCCCTGGTCGCCTCCTAGGAGAGCTGGTGACGGCAGGGTCCCTCCTGAGCCAAAAAGTGGATCCCCTCTATCCCCACACACAGAGGCTTGATGGCAAACTCAGCTGCATGCAGGTGAGTCTGTTAAAATGTTTGGGAAAGCACACTCCTCCAGAACTTGAATGAAGAAATATTTCCTTTAATCATATTTCTTTGAATAGAGGAGATCAAGGCAGCAGAATGGCGTGATTCCAGTCACTGGCCATGTGGCTCCATGTCTCTGAAGTGACTCCATTGTCACTGTTTATCAGTAATGAAGTTCGTACTATGCCCTGAACTAATAATTTGTGCCTTCGCAGATTCACAGGTTGCAGTTCTAACCCCTGATGTGATGCTGTCAGGAGGTGGGCCTTTGGGAGGTGATGAGGTCGTGAGGGTGCAGCCCCCGTGAACGGGGTTAGTGCCCACCGTGCGAGGACACAGTGAGAAGATGGCTGTCAGCCAGGAGCTGGGCCCTCACCAGACACCACATCTGCTGGCACCTTGATCTCGGACCTCCAGCCTCCAGAACTGTGAGGAAATAAATTTCTATTGTTTATAAGCCACCTGGTCTGTGCTACTTCATTACAGCAGCCTGAAAAGACCAAGGCTTACTGCACGCCAGCTACGGCACTAAGTGCTTTGCTTGTGTTAACAACAACCCAGTGAGCTAGTACCATGCTCACTCTTACTCGGAGATGCGAAAGGTGACACACCTTAGATTAGTTGTTAACGGTCATAGAGCTAGAAAGTGACAGAATGAAAATCCAAGTCACCTGGCTCAGGTTGACCCTCTGAACAGCTGTGCTAGGTACTATCTTACTTCTGGCGGTGCCACCGAGAGCTGGAGTTGACAGCTCCAGAATGCATTGGGAAGGAAGGGACCGCCTTAAATTCAGTGTGTCGAAGATTCAGTGTGAAAAATCGGACTTTGGCATTTCCTGGTGGGGGCACAAATGCTCCAGCCAAGAGAGAATCCGAACAGTCCCAAGCCGGGTCACATGCTTCTCTTCAAAGGCCAAAAGTATAGATTCAGAAGTAAAGGAGTACTAAGCTCTACTACCCCAGATACATGACCCCATTTCTCCATTATCTGCCAACTGGAGACACTAATCAGCCTCCCAGGACCAGGGAGGAACAAGCCAGACAACGTGGTGTGTAGGGGCTTAGAAACATGTCGACTCATCCAGGTCCTCAACAACGTCACTGCCCGTTAACCGTTCTTAGTAATTGGTACGTAGTTATCACCAGTGATTTACACTTATTCATAAAGGATCCATGGTTATTAGACTTTAAAGTCCAAGCCAGGCCAGTGTTTAAGAAATTCTTCGACGACTTGGCCTAGAGACTTTCAGGTAGTGGGTGGTTTTCTGCGAGTCGCTGCTGAGTAATGGAACGAAAACGAACGAGTCTTAGAGCCTCACGTCAGGTGAGACACCCGTCCGACAAGCCACGTGCTGAATGGCTTGGGACTTTTAGCCTCTCGGAGCCTCAGTTTACCACATAATCTTCAAAATAGATATAATAGTATGTCCTCTGGACCCTGTCAGAGAATGGTCACCAGACGGAGCACAGATATTTAGGTGGCATTTCTCTGCTGGGTTCCATGCTTCCTCCGAAGTCCCCTCTGCTTACTTGTCCTGGAGAGAGTTGTCAGTTGCTCATCTCTGGTCTCAGCAGCCACTGTGAAGAAAAACTACCCAACGTCACTTATCAGTTCAGCTCAACCCCTTCGCCAGGCCAGACTCCCTGCAGAGAAGACAGGTTTGGGAGCAGAGGGACTGGGGAGGGGGCTTGAGGAGAGGCTGCCCCTGGCAGTCTGAGCGGGGAATGTGTCTGCACGTTGGTGCCCACTTAGGCCCCGATTCAGTGGACAAGGGGCTAGATTAGGGTTAGTCCTTCGGTCAGGCAAAGAACCCAGCAAATGGGAGAAAGCGCCGTCATTCCCCCTGGTTGGGTCAGGTCCTGTGGGAAGGGCAGCTTAGTCTAGAAGTAAGAACAGACCCATCAGAGGCCTCAAACCCCAACCCACCACTCAGCTCTGTGTCTGGGATGACCTCTCTCCATCCAAACTTACCATCTCAATGTGGAGGCTAGAGCAGTTATTTCATAGGGTTGTGTATGTAAGCAGTAAACGAGATTATGTATTTTAAGCAAGTTGTCCCATATCCTGTCTGTGTGATTTGCTGGTATGTTCTGTTTTTTTTACGGTCACACTAGAATTTGTGGAAGGTGCCGATCCAGAATCCTCCATGCTCTTTCTGATTTAATCCTTCCGGTACAGGTGTAATCACCTCTTTCTGGGGGCCGGCACCCTACGGCCCGGCCCTTGGCCTGTTCGTAAAAGATGTCTTGCTGGCACATGGCCACTCCCGTCCAGCTACGGGTCGGTTACAGCTGCTTTTCTGCTGCAATGGCAGAGCTGAGTCATTGTGACAGAGGTCCCGTGTCCAAAATATTTGCCTTTTACGGAAAGCTTGCCGGTCCCTGCTTGATGCAGATAGAGACGTTGACACTTGGAGAGGTTACACTGCTGTCCCAAAGTCACACAACTGAAAAGTGGGAGCACCCGGATTCCGCCCCAAATCTGTCTGACCCCAAAACGCAATTGCGTGGCGGTGACCTGCACTCACACGCCCTGTGCTTTTCCTCACCGACTGTCCCACTGCACTGTGTGCTTGGTTTTCGACTTTGCGTTCAGGCAGCCACTTCCTTTGGAGGGCATCCATGTGCACTGCCTGGGTCATGGGTGTGAGTGTGCGTGTGCTGGGGGACGGAGGTGTGAGTGTGCCCGCTCTCTCCAGTTAGACTCTACACTCCTTGGGGGAACCTTATTTCCTTTGCGTGTTTCCCACAGTCACGCCACAGGTTCAGACTGAGGACAGTGGAAAATGTACCAATTCGGGGTCATTTTGGGATCATCTGACGGGGCCGTGAAATCTGCAGCATATCCCCAATTTAGAATGGAAGTGACAGCTGCCAGTCACCCTGGGAGTGGTAGCTGCCTGGGCATTTGGTGGGCTTCGGTTTGGCGTAGGTGCCGTTTCCTGTTTTCTGTGGACCTGGACGCCCAGGCACCGGCTGTTGGCAGTGAGGTGCCCTTGGACATGGACACGACTGTGGTGAGCCATACCATGAGCCTTCGCTTCTCCCTTAATAGCAGCGGCGGCGGCAGCGGCAGAGGAGAGAAATAAACTTCTAGGGAGACAGTTGTTCGTGGTGACCCCGCCAAGGGGTGGGGTTGCCGGAAATGGAGGATGCCCAGTTAAATGTGGGTTTCAGGTGAACAACAAATACTTTTTTAGAATTGGCACGGGACATACTTATACTCAAAAGTTATTTGTTGTTCGTCTGAAGTCCAACTTCAGATGGTTGAGGGCGGGCGTCCTGCATTGTGTCCGACAGCTCTACCCAGGTGTGAGAAGGGCTGTGGGGGAATGCGGAGCCAGTGGAGAAGAGATTGGGGTGTGGGGGATCTAGGAGCGGATCTGCAAAATGCTTGAGGCAGTCTCACCATGGGCCCAGGCAGGGGGCCTTGTAGGGGGCTAATTCCAGCACATAGGTGATGGTACAATTGAAATATGGGCTTGTGGGTCACACGCCAGTCCCCCTGTGCTCACCTTCTCCTGAGAGGGCCATCAGGCTGGTGTCTGTGGGCTCCATAGGATCCACTGGAAAAAGAGAGGCCCCGACAGCACTGTCAGCACCAGGTACCAGGGGCTCAAATGAGAACAGGCTGGGGACTGTGGGACCAAGGGCAGAGGGGGTGAGCTACATGGTGCCCGCAGAGAAGGGCTGTTCCTTCTGTCTTAGGGTCCCCCACCTCTCAGACACCTCCCGTAGTGCACGGGGGCCCAGCAAGGCCCCAGCAAGGCCCCAGCTCAGGAGGGGCTCCAGCTGGCTCTGGGTTCTGGTGGAGGAGGGGACAGTATTTGACACAGGCTGTGACGATGAAAGGGCTGCCAACCCCCAAGGTTGGTGGCTGTGGGGCGTGGCATCCCAGCCTGAGAAGACCTGGTTCAAAGGAGAGGCAGGATGGCAGAGAGAGAGTGCTGGACTCGGAAGGTCTACAGACAAACACGCACGCACACCCCTATTCACGCGTGCACACGCCCACATCCACGCACAAGTCCACACCCATGCACGGACTCACACACGCCTGCACACTCCCAGAAACCCATGCACATACATCCACACCCTGCAGGACTACTGAGGACGAGGTCCCCGTCCCAGGAAAGGAGGGGTGCTCTGCTAAGGTGCCCCTCGAATTCCGCACCCGCGCTTTTGGGACTGAGAGACCATGGGAACCTTGGCGAACAAGCAATGACAGCATAAACTGCGTGTCCACCGGCTCCCATCAGTCGTCCGCCCCCGAGGTCTGAGGAAGAGCAACTTCCCCGGACTTACCTCCGAGCGGGAGGGTCGTGGGCTCCTCCCTGCTGGTCGTCTCTGCAAAAACGACAACAAAAAGACATGGAAAAGCCTGTTTAGATCAGCGGCTTGGGGGGTGTTAGGAGATACACCGCACCCACGCCAGGGCCCCTCACCAGCTCCCTCCCCTGCCCGTCACCCATGCAGGGCTCAACTCTTCCTACCTGGAGGCTGAGCCAGACAGAAGGAGGTGTCCAGGAGGTTCAGGGAGGAGTTGATCCTGGACCGGGCCAAGCACTCTATGGCAGCCTTGTCACAGGCACACAGCAGGCGCTCACATGGGTCCCTGGACTCTGTGCACAGAGCGAGGGCAGAGCCAGTCGGAAGACCTCACAGGCGGGGCCCTGACCTGCCTACCCAATCCCTGGGCCTCACCGAGCCACCTCGCCCCATGTGTCAGCTCCACCCTTCGGCCATGTGGGGCCAGGCTGGGGGCCATGCTCACTCTCTCGCACCCACACCAAACCCTCAAGCCATCTTATTGACTCTGCTTTCGACCCCTGTAGAGTCTGACCACGTGTCGTCACTCCATGGCGCTGCCCTGGGCCACGCCCCCGTCACTTGCCTGGCTGTGAGCGTGGCCCCCGACCAGCCCCGCTGCCTCCCGCCTGCCGCCCAGTGTATTCTCATCCAGGAGCCAGAACAGCCCTTCGAAAACCCAGGTCACACCATCACACCATGTCATTTCTGTGTGTTCACAACCCCCCAACAACTTCCCAACTGAAAGTAAAAACCACCGCCTCCGCTCCTCCCCCCTCGCACCCCTATGTCTGCCCCACAGGCCCCCTGTTTCTCAACCACACCAGGCACCTCGAGCCTCGGGGTCCGCCACGTGCCGTTCCCTGCCTCTGCACTGCGCTTCTCCCGGACGTGCCTTGTCTGTCACCTTCTCAGCGCGGCCCTCTTGAACTTCCTATTAAATAGGCTCCCGCAGCCCAGCCTCCCTGTGCCTTTGCCCTGATTTGTTGTCCATCACAGCTCTTGCCATTATCTGATGTACTGTGTCATTTGTTTTTAATATTTTCAGTGTTGGACAGCCGTGAGGAAATCCCAGAAGGACAGGACATCCCCACTTCCCTGATGCTCGTTCTGCACTTGATGTAGGCGCTCAGTATGTATCTGTGGAATGAATGAATGAATGAATGAATGCATGCACAGTGCTCTTAGCAGTCACTGTGTATCTCACCTAGTGATTTAACACCCATGCCTCTCCTCACGCTGTTCCCAATGCTCCAAACTCCAACCAATCCATGTCACTTGGACTGTGGAGTCGGTGTCACCTGGGTTCAAACTACAGTGCTCTTAGCAGTCACCGTGTATCTCACCTAGTGATTTACACCCATGCCTCTCCTCACGCTGTTCCCGATGCTCCAAACTCCAACCAATCCATGTCACCTGGACTGTGGAGTCGGTGTCACCTGGGTTCAAACTCTGGCTCTGCCACTTAGCAGCTAACATGCCTTTGGGAGAGTTATCTAATTTCCCTGAGCTTTCTCCTCCTGGTCTGAAAACTGGAACTCATGACCCCAAGGTAACGGGGTTGTCCGGAAGATCAGAGTTGCTTTGTATGAAGCCTCCAGCCCATGGCGAACACTGAAATAGGGCGGCTCTAGCATGACACCGCCAACGTGCCATGCTCCTCTTCCCTCAATGCCTTTGCCTAGTCTACTCCTTCTGCCACGATTGCCCAGACGCCTGGGATAAAACTCCCGGAGTCGCACAGCAAGGAAGGCGGGCAGCTGAGGTTCGAAGCTCCATGGGTCTGATTCTTCCGGATGACGCCTACAGCCTTGTCATCCATCACCGCGCTGCCTCCACTCCCATCGCTGAGTTCTTAACATATCCCGGTCACTATGTTCCCTGTTGTATGCGCATTGTTTAATTATCATGACAAATCTCTGAAGCAGGTGTTCTCCTCCCCAGTTTGTGGTTCAGAGGAAGTAATTGCCCCAATGTCACATGATATACAAGCAGCAAGCTATTGGCCTTCCCAGGCTCCCAAGGTTACTACAAGCATACAATTATAAATCGAATAATCTGATAACTAATTATTGTTTCAATTCGAAAAGAATTTGTTGTTCATCTACCACACAAAGTAGAGATGCCATAGATGACGATGCCACCAGTGGCGATGACAGTGAGCACGACACACCTGAGAGCCCTTGGCCTGGGCCGGCCAGGGGGCTCTGAACCGTCATGTCTCTGCCCAGCCCCTGGGACACCTGGAGATGCTCACCACACGTGATCTCCCTGCTGGCGCATCGGACGTCTGTGCTGAGCTTGGCAGGGTTCTGGAGACAGTCCATCTCGGCGGCCTCCTCGTAGCACCTGCGGTGCTGGAAGCAGCAGCTGTGGCAGGGGTGACAGTGTGGGTGAGGGTCAGAAGAGAGGCGGCTGTGGTCACATTGCATCTCTGGATGGTTCCTGGCAGTGGTCTGTTTCATATGCTCGATGTGCGCACACACACACGCGTGCACACACACTACATATATATAGATATATTACCTACGCAGCAGGTGCTATTATTATTATTATGAGCCATCACATATGTGGGGACTGAGACACATAGGTCGCTGTAACTTGCCAAGTTCAAGGCTGATCACAGAGCGTGGCTGACACTGATTATGGGAGGTCAGTGAAGACCAAGGTGAAGAAGAAATATACAGGCACCCAGTGACCTTGGGTAAGATACTCAGCTTCTCACACTATGTAGCTTATAAGAATTTTTGGTATTTGAAGAAAATGTCTATTCTAGATCTTGCTGTGTAGTGGGCACTCGATAAATGATAGCAATTATTTTTGCAGTCTGGTGTGCAAGCTCTAGGTGGCAGTAATCTGTCCTTCAGGAACTTGGAACTCCCCATGCCCATTGACCAAATTACGAAAATAGTTGAAATTGGGTGTGACCTACGATTCTGCCAGTTTCTCGCCATTGGTGCTTTAATCATTCTTTTTGGGTCACAGACAGTGATGAATTACTGCTTCATTTCTTTGACTTCTAGGTGTGCAAGGTTTTAATAATTAAAGGAGGTGGCAAGGGAGGATCTGAACACAAAACAGGTTCCCAGAGGTGGCCCCAGCGCCAGGCCCCATTTAGAACCAGCCTCTCCTTTTCCGAATGTCAGTGAGCAGGCTCCAGGTGTCGCTTTGCTTATGGTCCCAGAAGTGGGCAGCTGCCCTTTTGGTCCAGAGGTGACGTACACTCGCTCTTGGAGATTTGGAGATGGGACAGATCTGTTGTTTAATTCCAAAGCCGTTATTCTTTATCAATCAGGACATATACCATTTTTTAATTCATTCATTTATTTAGTTTTAGTGTCTGAAAAGCAAGTGGAGGTTGACCACCTACCTAGTCAGTCAGTTAATTTATTGAGCTCTGTGTGCCAGGTGCTGGGTCCGTGTGGGGGATACAAAGAAATACCCCCGCGTGCATCTTCCTTAGAGGATGCTGCGTGGAGTGGGAGACAGGCCTGGTGCCCACTCTCCCATGTGTTGAGTGCAAGAAAGGGAAGCACAGGTGTCCGGGGAGCATGGTTTGCCCAGGTGCCTAGGCGGCGAGGCATTCACAGAGGGTGTCCTGGAGGAGAAAAGCCAGGGGACAACGGGCCACCCGCTGCCACTCCAAAGCGAGGCCTTCCCTTCCTCCTGTGGGTTCGTGTAGATGCGAGCGCACACTCCATCACACCGGATTCAGGCACCAGCGGGGTAGGGACATGCGTCCTGGAGCAGAGCTGAGACCTGGGTTCAATGTCCTGCTGTTGCTATGGTTACAACGACTGTTACTACTCGTAGTAGCACTGCTACTACTAATACTAGTACTGCTGCTGTTGTGCTATTACTATTACTACTAGTACTGTTGCTATAACTACTGTTACTGCTAGTACTGTTACTACCACCACCACCAACACCAACACCACCACTACAGCCCTGTTAATGTGGCTAGTACTACTCTATTATTACTACCACTACTCCTACTATAGCCCTACTACAATTGTTAACTACCACTTAATCACTAATGCTCTTGAATGCTTAATAAGCCAGGCAAAATCCCAACCATTCTCCCTTGTATTTGGCCATTTAATCCTAAGTAATTATAAGGCAGGCATTATTATTACCTTCACTGTATAGATGAAGAAATTGGAGCACAAAGAAGTTAGATAATGTGCCCAAGGTCACAGAGCCCATAGGAACAGAGAATTGGAGTAACTGGGTCCTAGGTGATATGCCTTAAAACTCTTAACAGATCACACCAGATTTTCCTAAGTGACCCTCCTGCCGCCAGCATCTGTTTGGCATATCGTTGCTAACACGCGATGCTTCTGAGATTCTATTGCCATTCTGAGGGGTAAAAGTTGACATCTGGTTTTCATTTATTTTCCTTGTCCGTAGGGAGGGCGCTCATCTCAATCGGCCACTGGTATTTTCTCTGTATTCCCCACTGGGCGTTTCCCTCTTTGGAACAGGGTTCGTGTTCCGTTTGCATTAAGCACATGTTTATATATGATTGGTATTTGGTGCATGTTTGCTGAACATTGAACAGAAACCTTCATGGTTGCTTTACCCCTGGTGTCCAGGACAATTCGAATTAAAAAATAATTCTCAAACTTGATTGTGCTTAAGAGTCACCCACAAAGCTTGTTTAACACCCAGACTTCCAGGTTCCACCTAAGGGCATTCTGAGTCAGTGGGTCTGAGATGAGCGTCAGGAGTCTGCATTTTAGCAAACATGCAGGTGGTTCTGATGCCACTGCACTCGAACTCTGAGAAGCTGAAATGAAGGTTTGCATGCCAGACATAACCTAGGACTTGATAACTTTCTAGGACACGAGGAGATCACAGATTACACCACAATTTAAAGGTGAGGAGAGCAGTCGCCCGGCGAGTAAGTCATAGAACTGTCACCTCCCAAGTTCCCAGTCCAGGCAGCTTTCCGTGACCGCGCTCTGCACAAGTGCCGGCCAGGCCGCCATGGACCCCCGTTTGGTCTCGCTCACCTGTCAGACTCGTCCACGGGCAGCCCTTCCATCTCAAACCTGCAGGCGCAGCCGTAGTCGTCCAAGTCTCGGGGGCAGAGACCAGCCACACACCTCATACCACTCACGAACTGGAGCAGCGCAGGGAAGCTGGTGAAGACGGCCTGCAGCCAGGTGAAGCGGGGGCCCAGGCAGTCTGCGGGAGGGAGAGCGGGGTGGGCGCTGGGAGCCGGCGGCGAGGAGGCAGCCCTCGATCCCAGGAGCTCCTATACCTCGGGCCGATGGTGCCTCGTTAACCTACTAAGCACCTACTGTGTGCTCAGGACTGTTAGAATGTTTAAGTGAGGTAGGTTTATGAGCCGGGGTCCCTGTTAGTTGCCCATCTAACAGCCATTATCCCTTCTTCCTTACCAATCAAACTGGAAAGTGCTCAAGAAAGGTGGGTGTTTCCCTCACATCCCTGGGGATGTCACATGGTCATTCTCAGCTGGTCATGGTAATTCCATGCTCCCATGATGGCCTAGAACGGAGCATGGGACCCAGATCCGGCCAAAACAACTTCAAAGGAAGTCTGTTAGAGGCTTTGGGGAAATATTTATTTCCTAATAAAGAAATACATGTAAGAAGATCCTTTTGATCTACACCAGTTTCCTTCCTTGAATGTGGATGAGGATACACTGGCCAGAACTGCAGCAACCACCTTGCAGTCATGAAGCCCCAAGCCTAAAGATGAAAAACCAAAACGTCCAGTGGGGCAAGATAGAGAGAGCCCGCTGGGTCTCGGATACTCGCGTTGGACCGGCGCACCAACCCTGGTGCCTTCAGATAGCTCACGTGAGATAATGAAATGTCTATTATTTAAGTCACTGTTGTCCCGCTGAGCAGATCCCAGATGATACAGCCCCGGCACTAAAGAACTATAAATCACTATGGGAAGAGAAAGGGTTCAGACGCTGATAACTTGGGGGCACGTACTGTGTGCCAGAAACTGCTAAGTGCTTGAAATAGCACAATAATTATAATTGATACAGTGACTAATGCTTTAGAAAGCGTTCACTTTGTCCCTTATTCCATAAACCTCATCTACGAGGCAAATGCCCTTCTTTCTGTCACCTTTATTTTATAGGTAAAGAAACTGAAGGTCAGTGACATGCTCCAGGTACCCACCAGTGACGATGACTTGCCCTAAATAAAAATGCTCTTGCACACAAAATTAGCAAGAAAACAGCATCCAGGTTTGAGATCTAAACCTCTTGTCTGCCCATCTCCACTCTCTGCCTTTCTGACTTGAGTACCAAGCAGGGTGACCCCACAACACTGATTTAAATGCATAGTGTCACAAGAGGGAGCTCGGGGCAATCTAAAGTTACCTATGGGGACTGTCCCACCTCTGAGTGTCCTAGTTTCTCCCTATGTCTCTGAAATTTCCTTCCCGTGTCTTGCCTCTGCACAGCTTAATCAGAAACACGAAAAAATGATTCTATGCTGATGGAAAAAGCCACTCTGAGGTTGTGTGTGTGTGTGTGTGTGTGTGTGTGTGTGTGTGTGCACGCGCACGCACCTGTGTGTGCGTGTGCGTGTGTAAACATGCATTTCATTCAGAAACCTACAGGGCACTTAGCCTTAGTCATATCTACATGGTACATATACATTTAAGTTCAGTCTCATGCCCAGCTTTGTCTAATCCAATGCAATTCAGAATCTCCTTGCTCATGTCCATTATATTATCAACATATTTGGGGGGCACTTTTAGTAATTGGTGATAGGAATTATCATGGTGTCCTGTGATTGATAATTGCATAATAAGTATATAACTGATAAAGGAGATACTCTGAAATTCTTAAGCTTTACGTGTATTTACTAGTCAAAGAGGAGAAATAAAATTACTTTGGTATCGGGGGACTAAGCTCCCACCGACTCAGAGGAGAACATCTCCCTTCTGGTTGTGTGGCTCTGGGCAAGTTACTTAACTCCCTTAGGCTCGGTTTTCTCATCTGGGAAATGGGGATCCCATTCCCCTCCTGGCCAGGTGTGCTCAGGGCCAATAGAGTTGGGACGTGCGGTCACCAGGCAACTCGGTGACTCGCCCGCAACAGAAGCAGCACTGTCCTAATCAGAGCCTGCATCGCGTTGTTTGGGGCTTGCTGAGGCCGGGGCAGCTCTGAGGGCAGAGGGGCCCTGGCCGCTTCCTTAGACCTCCCACACAGGCTCTCCATGCCCTGACACTGGGCGGATGAAAGCCGTTTCAGATTCGACTTACCCAAAATCTCCGTCGCACTTTCCATATTTTTAAACATCCCATTGAAGAATGTGCTATCTATGGAAGGAGAGAAAGTGAATTACAGAGCTGTGGTTCCCCTCCTTCCCCTCCCCATCCACCCTCCGGGTAAAGAGTAAGTAAAACCCTTTCAAACCCTTTCTCTTTCTCTAAGGACAGATTTGACCTTGGTTTAACTTTCTAATAACACAGGTTACCATGGAGACCTGATAAGATGAAACAGGACCAGCGTTACCAGGCAACAATGCTCGATGATGAAAAAGGCCCCTGGGCGGTAAGATGTATCTGGACTGGCAGGAACTGTGGATGAACTATAAATACCAGGTGGGGAATCACCGTTTTGGGTCTCCCCCAGTGTGATGACTCCTGCACCTGGGCATGTCCCTTCTGGGCAGCCTAGAAACTGCAGCTGTGAAGTCGTTACTGGGGACACTGATCCCTGTGAAGAGTGGTGACGCTTCTAGGCCAGGGCGGGTCCTGTGGCTGCTCCACATGAGCCCCATTCCCTGCACCTGAGCTGTTACCTAGGCCTCCTGGACTGCTGTGTCCTCGTCACCAAGGCTACCGTCGCTGAGGAGGAATGGCCTACTGGCACGCTGTGTTTTCTGGCCTTGACCCTTCTAAGTGCCAGGTGTGTCCCGTGAGTCTAAACATCCAACTAAGACCTCCAGGGGGGCATTGAACTTCCGTGGGGATTATACCATTTGGAGGGAGGTCGCTTGTCGTTTGGGCCTGGGTGGGACTGATCACTTTGCGTACATGGGCTCATGCACAAATAATTCGGTTGACTCAGCTCCCCTCCCTGAAAGGTCTGGCATTCAGGGCTGGCATCACCAACGAGTTCACTAAGCATAAGATTGTCAGTGATACCCATGTAAGAACCCGCCTGAGAAATCTTTATCATTCATCACTAAGAAAACATTCCCTTCCCCAAGGAGCATTACGCATCTTCATTTCCAATAACTAGAGCCCTGCGAACATCATTTCTTTCTTTTTGTTCTGCCTTAGGAAGCTCAGAGATCAATTCGAAGCTGAAATGCAGTTACTGTGTAACCCTCACAATCAACCCATTTACTCCCTTTTCCCAATTTCCCCTTCCAGCTGACATTTTATCTTTTGATGGGAATTTTTAGTGCTTCGTCTCAAAGGCGAGACCAATGGTGGATCAGACGGCAGGGGAGACTGTCAAGGGAGAGGCTTTCGAATCTCACTTGAATCCCTTTACCTACAAATGCCACAGCAGTCAGTGCCTCTGGGGTCTCTTCAGAAGGGGTCATTTTCTCTGCCAATATCCTAGACGACTTTCTACCCAGCTAGGTCTCCTGAGAAAGATGCAAAGGGTACATACTGATACTGTGGGAGAGTCTTGCAGGCAGCTCCTGTGCACGGTGCGGGGTGTCCAGAGGGTGGCCCCCTGTCGGGAGGAGAGCAGGGCTAGTCTGAGCACTGCCACCACCCACCTTCTGGGCTAAGACGGCGGGGGGTGGCGGGGGTGCGGGGCGCAGCCAGGACGGAAGTGGGATGCACAGCAATTCAGTCCTACACATAATTTTCTAGTGCCTGGTATGTGCTCAGTCTCTGTGGCAGCTCTTAGAGAGTAACACAGACTTTGAGAGCAGGAGGGAGATTCCGGACTCCAGGTCCATGTGAGACCTTAGGACAGAGCCCATGGAATTGCTCCAGCATGTTTTACATTTGGCATAACCAGAGGCAGGGGTGGGGCGGAGAGGGCGGGAAGAGATGGAAGGAAGGTCAGAGGAAACGTCAGGACAAAGTTCACCAGAAGAAAACTGATAAGCGTCGTTATGAGCCGAAGATGGCTGGAGTGTGTACCGTTCCAGGCTCCGTGTCACATGCATCACCTCATCTAAGTCTCTGCTCAGTGCTGCGAGGCTCGCATTGTCATTACCGTTCAGTAGCAATGAAACCAAGACTCATCCGATGAAGCTCTGGCATTTTCTGACCAGAGACACCTAGGCTTTCCTTGGTCTGCCCCCTGCTTAGCTCTGACGAACCATCTCCTGCCTTGAACCTCACGTTCTCCTGTGATGCTGGGAAGTTTATCACTTTCTAGTCACCAAACTACTTCTTACCATCCTGCCTTTGCTGGTGCTGTGCCCTAGGCCTGGGGGGCGCTCCCTTTCATCTGCACCCCTTTGCATCGCTGACTCTTACTTACGTTTTAGGGTACCACTCAATGTTCGAGGAGTCCTACGTGACACTCAGCCTGGGCTGCTTGAGGGACAACCTCCCTGTGCTCCCCTAATGCCAGGCGGCCTTCTCTCTGTGTACTTATGACCCCACGTAACTATTTCTGTAACTATTTCTCCAACTAAACTCGGAACTCATTGAGCGGAAGCACTGTGACAAATTGAAGCACAAGTTCAATCGATATCTGTTTAATGAATGAATGAGCATTAACGTGGTTGTGAACTACGCCATCAAATGGCCAACTTATCAGCCAATGAGAGATGCCCACTAGAATCACTGAATCCTGGTCTAGTAAACTTGAAGCAAATTTAGGGCATAAGGTCCATTAGCGGTTATGAGTGAGATTTCACAGTATTAAGTGTTCTACCTAGGAGATCAACCGGGAATGCACGCAACCTGCCTTTTCCCAGCCCCCTTCCCAGAGGTTCTGGAAAGAGATGACACGCAGAGGACAATGGGAGGTGGGAATGCACACAACCTGCCTTTTCCCAGCCCCCTTCCCAGAGGTTCTGGAAAGAGATGACACGCAGAGGACAATGGGAGGTGGGAACCGATATCGCTGTGTGATGTGGGGCAGTGCAGAGGTCCCTGACAGGGGGAGCATGTGGTGGAGGTGGAGGTCCAAGGGCATCTCTTTCTCCTAACGTAGATCTGACCAGCATCACAGAGGACAATGGGAGGTGGGAACCAATATCGCTGTATGATGTGGGGCAGTGCAGACAGGGGGAGCATCTGGTGGAGGTGGAGGTCCAAGCGCATCTCTTTCTCCTAACGTAGATCTGACCAGCATCCGCCTCCTAACTCCTGCCCTTCGAAGCCATAGGCCAGCTCTAAGCGGAGAGAAGAGGGTGAGCAGCTCCCACCCCAACTGTGTGGGGTATAAACACGGAGGCTGCATCCAGTCCTGCCACAAGAATGGAAAACACCCCACGGAGAGACCCCGTAATGCACAGAGACCTTCCTCACTGTCTACATGCCCAAAGCATTGTCTTGAAATCTAATTTGTATTGTACTGGGGCAGCCACGAGAAGGCACTGAAGAAATGTAGAATATTTCACAATTTTGTCACCAAGAATAAGACAAGTCAAGATCAGAACTAGAATCTGATCCAGTTGAGTTGCGGTCTTGGTAACGGTTAAATGGCTGGCATACCAGCCCCAGTCACACTAATAATGGGGACCCAAGTCATAACAACAGCATTTTAATAAGGAAAAAAATCATATACGAACAAAGAAATTAATCAACAGAAGCCCAGGAACCTCTGCCTTGGGAAGAAGGTCTAGGATGGTGTTTGGAAGGGTCCGGCCTTCTGTAAAGTGGTTACACTGTCATTTCAACTTATAGGCTTCCAGGTAACATACAAACCTCTTGTATTGTCCACTAATTTGGGTCATGGTCAAGATAAATTATCAGTGATGTGTGTGGATTCACATTGCCTCATTTTCACTGTTGTGTTTGAGACAGGAGCTTGGGGACGAGAGGCCCAGCGTGTCGGTCCAGAGTTTACCTGACTGAGCCTAGATAACTGAGCCATAGTGATCACTGTGCTGCCCAACCCGCTGTAGAAAGAAGTGCGTCGGGGCGTTGGAGAGCTGCACAAATCCGCGAACGAGAAAGAAAACCGGATGGGGCCGGAAGTCTCAGATTTGAAACTCAGACTCCAAGTGGACTTGAAATCAGTATTCCAGGCTGCCAAGGAATGGGCTTCACTGACCAGGTTTTGGTGGCATGGGACCCAACTCGAAGATGTCGGGGTGGAACAGTGGTTGTTGCCCTTTACACTGGTCATGCCTACAGAAGGAGAAAGGGAGTGGCTGCGTATGAGGAAGGGAGACGCTCTCCAAGGACACCAGGAGAACAAGGGACAGCGGCTCTGAGTAAGCAAAGGAGGAGGGATGCACCGCAAGGTGGAGAGAAGGCTGCTCGTTGGCCATCTTGCTCTCCCTGGCTGTCCACCGCCTCCCCCTGGCCACTTCCGTGCATTACTCAGTGTGCTCAAAACTGTCAGTCGAATTAAATCTATAGCTTATCATTAAGGTTTGATGTCCATCGCTCATCAGGCAAAGGGATAAAGGAGTAGTAAGCAAATCCAATGGCGTTTGGCAACGCATCCCAGCGTTCCCGTTAAATGATCATACACCAAGACAGATGCGGTGTGAGACCCCGGCACTCACCGACACGTGGGATCATCAACACGCCGACGAGGAGAAGCGCAGCCATAGCAGGAGGGCACAGGGCGACACTGCAGCGTCGACCGGAACAGCCTCCTGCAGCAGAAGTCAGAAATCAGAACCCGCAGCAGCCTTTCGGCCCAGGAGGCAGCGAGCCGACAGGAGAGAAAGGGTGTCGGTCCCAGCTTTGCCACTAACTAGCAGCGCGACCTTAAAGAGATCCCGCTCCCTCTGGGACGCTCAGTTTATCCACCTGTAGAAGGGAACGTCGGCCCCGCGCTCCTCGAGGACGTACGTGTCCGTGGTCCCCTTTCTTTACTCATTAATTCCATGGTCATCGGTTGTGTGCCAGGCACGTTGCCAGGGTCCGGGAACTCGATGTCAGGAGGACGCACCCCTTACCTGTGAGGTGTTCACAGACTAACGGTGAAGGGAGACGATCTCACAGGTGCTCTAGTCCGACTTTCGCAAGTTGAATTTGAAAGAACCCACACGTTATGATCCACCAGCATTCCAAATACCTGTTTGGCAGGCTGACCTTGAACCTTCGCGCCAATGTCATTTGGCATGAATAAATTTCGGGGTCCCTAGAAACTGTGCTTTTCCTGCAGCAGCTCCCTCTTTCCTCCTTTTCTTAGCTTTTGAGCCATTTGAAGCCTTCATTGGGGGTGAGGGTTATGGCAAGGTGGGCGGGGGCCAGGAACCTACCACATTTCCGAGGAGCAAACATTTAACTTCAGTAGGCACTTCCTGCACTCAAGCAGGTCAACCATGCATTTGATAGAGAAGGAAAACTCTTGAAGACCAGAGGGATTTAGAGTAATTTTAGTTCCCTGGGAATATAAATCCCTAAGGAATGTTAGAAGGATGGCTGGCTCATGCCTATTCTGCTGTAGAACATGTTTTTAGGACGAAGTATCGAGATTAAGCTGGTGCGATGGTGCCATCTCGTGGCACACGCGGCACCGCCAGATAGGGTTGTACACGTCGTGCACTGTGCAGAGGGGTTGCACGGAGGGGCTGAGATGCAGCCGGCGCTCCGCTCCCGAGCTCGCCCTCTGCAGGGCTGGAGGAGGGAGTGCTCTCTGCCGTTTGTCTTCCCAGAGGCAAATGCTACCCCATGTTGACAGCCTGGGCCACGGTGGGCCGCTCTGCTTGTGGGTCAGGCTCGATACTGGGGAAAGCATCCCAGGGGAGCAGACACCTGTAGGCTGTAGGGCCACTATTTTCTGAACCTGCCCCAGGGCCTCGCACGGCCTCTGGTGGCCGTAAAGCAAATGTTTGTTGAGAATGCCAAAGGGCAGGGCGTGAGTTCTTTGGGATTCTCACTCAGCTTAAGCGTTCGCTAAGGCTCTGCTTATTTTCCGGTTTTGCTCAGGCTCGAGGCTCCGCTTATACCTTTCTTAGCCACACAGATTCCTAGAGCAGGTGAGCTTTCAAAGTTAGACAGGCTCCGCGATTGTCCTGCGGAGATTCGGCTCTGAGTGACTACTTGTCAAGGTCATGAAACCAGACGGAAAATTAAGTATGAAGCCTGGGACGTCTCCAGATGGCATGCTCTGGAGACCCCATGGGGGAGCAGGTGGCATTTCAGAGGACCCCACCGAGGTCATCACACCCATACGACCGAGGCCAGCATCACTACCCGGTACTTACGAAGTCAGGGTTTTATTGTTAAGATCACATAAGAGAGGGTGCCAGAATGTTCAAACTCAGAAGCAGCATCGAAATCATCTAAGTCCAAACTGTCACATCACAAGTGAGGTCACTGAAACTCAGAGACTGGCAACGTATGGTAAAAATGTCCCACCTCCCGAGTCCGGTGCTCGTTATAACGGCAGGACTTGTCTGTAAAACTGTCCTGGGGCTTGAATGAGTTAATCCGTGCCGGCCATTTGCAACAGAGCCTGGCGGAGAGAAATGGCTCAAAACCACTCATTACAGCCTCTGCGTACGGCACTCAGCGAAGGCTCAACACAGGGCAGCTGTTACGAGCAAGGCCCCGATTCCCTGTTTGGGTGGAGGCCCCCGTTTGCTGAAAGGAAGGAAGGTGGTCACTCGAGCTCAGCGGATGCTGTTCTTGTTCTGTGTCAGTCACACCAGGGAGACATTCCCCCCGGGCTGTCCTGACGCTCAGAGCAGAGAGGCTGGCGGTGAGGTTTGTTTGAATCGCAAATGTGCGTATTGGATTTTCAAGCATGTAGCTATGAGAATTCAAATGGGCAAAAGTGACCTTATTACAGACAGAATCTTGACTCAGCTGTAATGTACATGTAATTTTGAGTAGGTGACAGGGAGGAGGAGTGGGGATTGGCGTTTCAGCTGGGCAGGAAGCAGATGCTGAGGAGGTGGATGGCAGTGATGGCCGCACAATCACGGAAACATGAATGTGCTTAATGCCGCTGAACTGCACACTTAACACTTAAAATGATAAATTTTATGTTACATGTATTTTACCACAATTAGAAATAAAGTAAGTTCAGAAGCTTATTCCTTGAAACCCTCCCTGATTTTTTACTGGGTTATTCTTCGTGTCGGGTGCTACAGTGAGTATTCTTCACATACCGACTTGTAAAGAAATCTAGGACTTGGACTGTCACAGGCGGGGACCGGAGGCTCAGAGAGGTCCAGCAGCTTGCCTAGGCCATCTCATGGGACTGAGGGGCCCCAGGCCCCCTTGGTCTGCATATGCTGGAGTCTTGTCTCCCCAGGCTGTGTCCTGACACCTGATTCTGTGCAGCGTGGGGGCCGTCCACAGTGAGGCCTTTCTCGCTGGGCAGAGGGCCGGGCGGGGGTGCGGATTCTGCCCTGAGCCTGGCACTGAAGCTGCCTGGAACTCGTTTGTGGGCAGGGAAAATGCCCATCTGGACATCTGGACGTTCCTCGCCAGCACTTCACGAGCATTTAGTGGATAGTTTTTGAGAGCGTGGGCACTGTGCCTGCCATGTACTAAGTGCTCAGGAAGGTCGGCCCAGAAGGATTGATTATCACATTTTCACACCATGTGCTCCGGGGCGTGTCACTGGCCCACACAGGTGTGCAGGCCGCTCGCGACGTGGTGTGCCAGATTGTTTCCCCAGGTAAATGTCCCTTTGGTGTGGCACCTCCCCCTACAAAGGCCCTGTGTGCCTTTGGATTCCTGGCTACCTCCTGGAGTGGCAGCCAGGTCTCAGACACCCCTTGAGAGCAACCCCCCTCCCTCCCTCCCATCTTTCATCCATTTTCCCCTCCATCCCTTCATCCTTCCCTCCCCCTGTCTTCTTTCCTCCCTCCCTCCCTGCCCCCATTCTTACCTAGCTCTCTCCACCCCTCCCCTAACCCTCTTTGGCTCCCCACCCCATCAGGGAAAGGGGGTACCTACCGTGCAGCACCCCCTCGAAGCAGCTGGTTGAACGATGGCTCTGAACGAGATGGGGACTGAGTCCTTTATACCCCAAGGAAGGACCCTTGGTCACGTGACCCCTCCTGTCCTCGCATTGAGAGGACAGTCTCTTAGGAATTCCGGCAGGTGGGCTGCCCCTGTCATGCTATGGCTCAAAGCAGGTGGCTGCCCATAATCAGAGGCCCCCTCTGCAGCCCCAGAGGGGACCCAGGCTCTAATTAGAGAACAAAGGCTCCCCAGTTCCACACGCCCGCCCCGCCTCGAAGGCTTAGAGGCCCAGGGATTATGTCTCCGGGTGGGTCGTCAGGGGTAGGTTGTCAGGAGAACTCTGAGGGATGAAAGACGAATGAGAGTCACCCCGGCTCCCTGCGAGGAAGAGAGCTGGCTTTGTCTGCTCCAGTTCATTCTTCAGCAAGAAATGTCGGCGGTGAGTCTCCTTATGTGTTCCTGGCCTCAGGCCTGGGCATTTGATGCCTGTTTCCCTTAGGGGTTTTCTGCCCAAGCTGTGGGGTAGGGCGAGATGGAGCTTTACAGTGAGACACCTTAGGTTCCAGTGCCAGCCCTGCTTACTCATTACCTATGGGACACTGGGCCTGTCACTGCCTAGTCTTGGCTCCCACATCCATTCAATGGGAATAATCCCACTCGGACCGTGAGCACAAAAAAAAGAGTGTGGGCTGGGACTAGGGCTCATTAGATCCTAGTTCCTCCCATGCTCTCCGTAGCCCCTTGCGAACTGTGTCCTTTCTAGCTTTTAACAAGGAGAGCTAACATTTATTGAGTGCCCATTGTGTGCCATAAATATTTTTACAGGATTTTGTCTTTACTGTTCCCACAGCAGGGGGATGGAACATTAGCTCCATTTTACAGACGGGACAGATGGTGTCGTCAAAGTCGAAGCATTTGTCCCAGCTCGCGTGCGATGGGACCGTTCTTGGCTCACAGGTTAGCCTGTCTGCAGACTCTGTGGGCTGTTCGCTGGCCACCACGTCCTGGAGCACGAGGGCTTGTCTAGTGCTTATATCTGGGAGAGTCGAGCCTTTCCAGAATCTGCTAACGGCTTTCTTCAGATGCTTAGTTGTCCTGCGTTGGCGCTTCTGTCTATAGTTTGTGAATCACTGGTCAGTATCTCGTGCATGTCGAGGAATGAAGCTACACTGCTCCAGCCTTTCTGACGAGCTCAGAGATGCTCCAGCTGTAAAGCTGTTCAGTTAACGTGGGCGTATAGCTCAGCGGAGAGGAATTCATCCTTTGAGTGTCTCCAGGACAAACTATTCCTCTATGCTAAGGCGAAATAATGCCCTGCACAGGGAGGTCGTTCTAGACTTTTCGCAGGGTTTGAGAAGCTGTGTATTCTCTCCATAGCACACGACGGGGCATCTCAACCGTCACTCTCGACAT